AATGAGAGATATTGGGTTAGTGAGAGATCCTGTCTCTAAACACAAGGCAGAAGTGACTGAGGAAAGCATCCCACTTCTCAAAAAGCAACTGCTCAGAACTGGAGGGCACAGGGAAACGAAGTTCCGTGCAAACAGGTGTCTCAATAGACAGGAAGGACAGCAAGTGGCAAGTCTTTGCCTATTGCATCACTAGAGTCCTGGCTCGCCAAAAGGGGGCAGCAGGAAAAGGGAAAGACAGACAGACAGGGAAGGTGGCTCCTTGGGGGAATGGGTGCAAAGACCATCTGGATTTATACTTCTGCTGGCCACCTGACCCTGACTATGCTCTTTGAGCTGGCAGGGACCTTTCTAAGAAAGGGCAAGGCAGGGAGGAGCACAGGTCAGGACCCAGCTACCCTGGGTGTCAACCCTTGTCCTACTAATTATGAGTTATATGGCCTTGAGCGAATCTGGGGAGCAGGTCCTTTACCTATACACAGGGACAATATGTTGTGCACTCCAGTACTCCTGAGAAGTTTAGCAATGTGCTTTCAATGGTACCCGGCATATGGAGCAACTTACCTTAGCAATAGTGTCCAGTTTTTCTTTGTCAAATAAAACCCGTAACATCCCAGCACATAATGGGCAACAAGCACCTGCGACAGAACTTTTTGTGAGTTCAGAATAAAACAAGGTCAGTGGCCACATTCCACTGTGGCTGTCACCTGTCCTTCCTGGTGATTTCACCTTCAGCTGTGCTTGATGAGCAACCCAGGGTTGTAATATCTGTGTTTACCATCCTGACACACTCCTCCGGCGATGCTCGGGGTGCAGAGGCTATGGAGTAACAGCAGACCAGACCTGCCCGCTTCTCATCTCATGCTGTGGTCCTGCCAGGCAGTTTGTGCTGAACCCCCTGCTTTCTTGTCTGCACAAGGGAGCTTCAGGTGTTGAGTGCTTGCTTCACATGTAATTTTCTAAACTACCTTAATCTATTTAAAAACCATAGCAAGGCAGGAGACAGTCAAATCTTATGCCACGTTTAACAGAGTTCATCGCCCAACTCATCAGTGGCCTTTCTACCAGGCCGTCACCATCTCTTCACTCAGCCTCATCAGGTAGTTTTGACTTGACAGTTTGGATCTACAGGGAACCTATGTCCCCTCACTTGGAATGTGGTCACCAGGAGGGAAGAGGCTTCGTTTTGTTCACTGCTGGGTCCCTGGTGCTTAGAAGCATGACCAGAACACAGTGGAGGCCCAGTGAGTCCCAGGCGAGCTGCAGGTGGAGACTTGGAATGAAGGCTCTGCCACTGATGAGCATAAGTGTAATGTACACTGTCCACAAACACTGATGCTCACAGAGCCACTGGATATACAACTAAGTCAACTCTCCTTGCTTCTCTCAATTACAAATGTTTGTGTTCATCAAAACACTTCAACTATTCATTAATTATTCAGGTACTTTAAAATAAGTAAATGTATGTATTTAATCTAGTAATCCTAAATTTTTAATTTAAACACTATTTTATCTGCTTACATATTGATGCCTGATGTAAGATTTTGATTGAAAAAGGTTGACATGCTCTTGTTTTTCTTTTTAATTTTACAATTAGATCTATTCCTTTTATTTTATGTGAGTGTTTGCCTGTATGCAAGTATGTATGTGCACCATGTGTGCACTCGGTGCCAGAGGAAGTTAGAAAGGTGTACAGGGTCTAGAACTGGAGTGACAATGGTTGTGAGCCACAGTGTTGGTGGAGTTCTCCCTCCCCTGCCATGCTTTTCTGATGTCAGCACAACAAACACTAAGACAGCTTTGGCGTTCACTCAGAATGTCAGCATGAGGGTGTTGTGAACTTTTTATTTTTATTTTTTGGTCTTATTCTGTATCCCTGAGTGCCTGTATCACAGGCAAACTTCCTGTCTCAGCCCCCTGAGTGCTGGGATTATAGCTTTTCAAAGTTTACAGACTCAGGAACTCTCTTCTTAAGGGCTCATGTTCTGGGGGGGATCAGCAAACCTTTCTGGTCCTACCCCTGCCCACCCCAAACACCCCAGCTTACCGGGTGGAATGACGGGTTTGCAGCCCATGGATGAGAGTGAAGGACACTTCACAGCAGCACACTCGGCCACAGCACTGTATTCAGAGAGGACCCCAACAGCCTGGCAGGGCCCATAGTAGTCAACTGCCACACGATCCGAGTAGGCAGCACACACACTGCTGTAAGTCTCACCATTGTGCCCGCAAACAGGCTCTGCAGCTCTGCAGAAGGGCTGAGCAAAAATAAGTAGCTTTTAGCCTGGAAACTCCTATGGTATCTCTTTCTAATTGTGAGCACAGAGCTGATCTCCCTATTTTCAGGAAGTGAAAAGACATGGGCATAAGCTGTGGGGAGCCTCTAAAGCCCCTTCGGTGGACTAAGGAATAAGCTGTCTCAATGTGAAAATCTTTGAAACTTGGGTGCTCATTCTGAAACAGATACAAGATAAAAATATCCCTTGCCATTCTTTCACCCAGACTTCTTTTAGTAGTCATGAAGGTCTGAATTAAAAAGCCACTTACTCTTCATGAAAAGGTGGAGTAGACCTTACCATTTCATGCCGGGTGTGGGAAAGGGAGGGACAGGTAGAGTGATGAGTGGAGCAGACATACTCTGTACCTGTTAGGTAGTAGGGATATACTTGAGAAATACCCTAGCTGAGAAGAGCCAGCAAGGGTGATGGGGGGGGGCAGTTAGAGCAGATGGTGTCTGTGTAAGTGGGACACCAGCTCCAAGAGAAAACAGGAGCCAGACAAGTTGCAGGGACTCTCCATGGACGGACAGCATGTCTGGTGTTAGTGGCTTGCAGGCAGGTGATGCTGGGCCCAAAGATGGGACTCTCCCAGCAGAGGGTTCAGTACAGAATCAGGAAGGCCAGTGGGAAGCTCCAAGGAGGCCGTCAGAAAGGTTGCTTAACGTGGAAGTGGATTTCACAAGCCTAAAAGACTGAGTTAGGCTTATGTAAAACAAGCACTAGATTTTCACCTCACTCAACACAGTGAGAGGTAGAAGGTGGGAAGCAGCAAGCGCGGGGACGAGTGGTGAGACCGCTTTTCTTCCTGATTTGTTTTCTATGGCAGCCCACAGAGCTGTGGACAAATGATTGGCGGTGACCATACTGGGTGTGAAGCCTTAAGTCTTTTCCTAAGAGTGGGTTGAAGTCAGGGTCCACCTGCTTCTACGTGCCTCCTCAGAGGCTACACACAAAACCCCTGCCCTAGCCACACCACTCCTTTCTCAGGAGAAGACTGCACTCTGCTGGTCTCGAAAGAGTCAAAAGTTACCTTGAGCCCAGTCCCCTTTGATTTGGCAGCCAAATGACATACCTGGCAGGGGCCTCTGTAAGAGAGGCTTTTTCCTCTTTGGTACAAAGTGCAGAGACTGCTGTGCTCTATGTGGTCTGTATCACACACAGGATCTCGGACCTGCTCACAGGTGAGCTGTCTGTGCACACACTCATACTGGCTACATCCAAATTTATCAAAGGTCGTCAGGCAAACCTGTGGTCTTGGCACACATCTAAAAAAAAAAAAAAAAAAAAAACCGACCAAAGCCAGCAGGTGAACCAGAAGCATGGAGGGACTGTGGTAGGGGCAGCAACGTCCTGGCTTCGGGCAGCACAGGCAGCCCAGAAGAGACAGGGGGAATGGAGTACATGAAGAGGAGGACACTCAGAACAGAAAACGGAATGATTAGCTGAGTAGTGAGCCCTGGGGACACATGGAACAGGGTGTTCTAACTGGAGCCTGGGGGGTAAGGGGGAAACAAGCACCTTTGTGCATGGGAAACTGGAGGCTGGAGTGCTGGCTCAGTGGTTCAGAGACATCTCTTCAAAGGAGCCTGGCTCAATTCCCAGCACTCACATGGCAGCTCACAGCTAGCTGCCTGTAACTCCAGTTCCAGATCTGACACCCTCCTCTGGCCTCGGAGGGCACTGTATACACATGTTACATAGACATGCATGCAGGCAAAACGCTCATCCACATACATTTTAACAAAACAGGCTTGAGCCAAATTGCCCCCCGGGAAGAATATGCTAACCCTCTTCCAGCTCATATATCCAACAGATATATGAAAGTATCTGTTTCCTAAATTTATGTTACAGATTTTTGGTCTTTGCCAATCCAATAGATGCAAAGTGGCACATAGTTATGGTTTTAATTTAATTTCAATTTCTGGCAATATGAGGAAGATTAAAAGTTGGTCCTAACTGGCTGTATGTTGGTAAAATTCACTTATTCTTCTCTGGATCATATATCTAGATTACATTCTTGGGTCTCCTTTGGTAGCTGGCTGAGGCCAAGTGACTGAGCTTCAGACAGTGGAATATGGTTGGCAGTAATAATGATGATGTCACCTCTTCAGGTGGCACATGAATGCTTCTCAAGAACATCCTCCACCACCTCATCTCTGCTAGCCAGAAGCAGAGTGTATAAAGGTTTGTGGAGTGGTAGAGATGGCAAAGTCACTGCAAGAGGATCCCAAGTCTCTAAGGAATAGCAGTGGGGCAACCTGCTGAACACGCCAATGGGCTTCATTTAATCTTCTACTATACGAAAGAACTGAATAATGGTGACTTGTATATAATAGAGTTACTTAAGTTTTAGTAAAGAAACACATTCCCATCCCCTGTTTGAAGCCAGGAAGGAAAAAAAAATAGAAAGAAACACATTTCCCCTGTCTTAGGGTTTCTATTGCTGAGAAGAGACACCATGACCATAGCAGCTCATAAAAGAAAACATTTAATTGGGGTTGGCTTATAGTTTTAGAGGTTTAGTCCATTATCATCATGGTGGGACATGGCAGAATGCAGACAGACATGGTGCTGGACAAGGAGTTGAGAGATCTACAGCTTGATCTGCAAGCAGCAGGGAGAGAACTGTGTACTGGGTGCAGGTCAAACATACAAGAGACCTCAAAGCCCGCCCCCACAGTGACACACTTCTTCCAACATGGCCACATCTACTCCAACAAGGCCACACCTCCTAATAGCATCACTCCCTATGGGCCAAGCATTCAAACCACCAACCCCCAAATGTTTAAGAACCATTTTATTCATTTTTCTGTTTGTTTCCTTGGCGTATTTTTTCTATGAAGCTATTATTGCTCACAAGTTTTCACAGTAAGATGGTATTCCTCACATTGATTTGTCAGGGTTATTTCTCTGTGATATTCTTCCCTTTTTGTCATTTGTTACTATGCCCCCAAAATGTGCTTTTTGTGTAGTTGAATTTTAAATTTTTCCTCTATACTGGCAATCTATCCAGCAAAGCCTCTCCACTTTGAAGATGTAAAAAGCAAGACAACATTATCCAGGATATCAGCCAGTGAACTCTTGGTTTTGTTTCTGCTGTACTGATGTGATGCTGGTTTTTACTGCCAACCTGACACAACCAGAAACCACTTGGAAGAGGGATGACCTAGACCATGTTGGCCTGTGGTCATGTCCATGGGGACTGTGGTGACTGTTAGTTACACTGGAAAGAGCAACCCCAACTGTGGGCAGCACCATTTCATGCACTGGGCCCTGAAGTGTACTCGGATCTAAGATGCAGCAAGTGGGCAGTGCAGACAGTTATTCCCTTTGCTCTTGTCTGCGGATTGGTGCTTCAAGTTCCTGCCCTGGCTTCCTTGCAGTAATAGACTATAACCTGGAACTCTGAGCCAAGCAAACTCTTTTCTTCTCAAAGTTGCTTTTGTGCTCAGGGTGCTTTATCACAGCCACAAAAGTGAAACTGGAACAATGAACTTTAACAGACATGCGGCTGACTCTTTGTCACTTCATTACATAAGAAAACCTCCCATTTTATTCTGTGCCAGAGTTTTCAAGACAAAGAAGCAACTTTCTGCACAAACTCCTTCATCAGGAGTGAGCTATGACTCTGGGACGAGGCTTGCTCAGAGGTGAACACTCCAGGTCTAGAATGCTGAAATCTAAGTCAGTCACACTTGCCTGGGGACCGCCACATGCAGTGCAGAAGTCCATCAAGGTCAGGTCACTGTCATTTGGCTTGGTGAGACTACAGAGAAGGGAGTCCAAAGCCAAATGATATCAAATAATGCTAACGTTGCACTTTCTGAGATTTCTCATGTCTAATTCCTACAATGAGTGCTCTAGTAGAAGAAGCCAGGAATAGCTAGTAAGAATGCATCCATTTCTCCCATCTCTTTTGTGGCCTGCCCTTGCCTTACTCCCAGCATGCATTTCTGCTCCTGTTGCCATCTGCTGTCACCACACCAGCTTCCTCCCTAACTCTCCTGCTCTTCACAGATCCAGCTGAGTGTCATGTGTCTGAGCACCTGAGGCCCTTCCCACTCCAGCTGCAGTCACTGCTCTACACCTGCACTCCTAATCGTGCAGCCAGGGAGCTCTATGCAGCTCTTTCTCTCCAGACAGAGACAACGTTTTCTTTCTTGAGACTGCTCAGCATGTAGCACAGAATGACCATGAACTCAGAGTTCTCCGGCTTCAGTGCCCCAAGTGCTGGGATTACATACGTGAGCCAGACTACTTCTTAATCCACCTTTGTATTTTCATCATGTGGGGCGTGCACAGCACTAGTCTTTAGCTGAAGAAAAGAAGTAGCATTGAACTTACCTTTGGCTTTTGGGGCAGAGGTTAGGATTACAGGGATCCTTGGAGATACAAGGTCCAAACTCAAACTGATGGTCTTGGAGACCCACACAGCGGGCAATGCAGGCACTGGGGTAAGTGCGTCCATTCTGTGCACACACTGGGACAAACTGATCGGCACAGTTACAGGGCAGACCTGAAGGGAGGAAACAGACTCAAATAAACACATACACTCCCTCCCATGTCTTACTGAAGGCAAACTTCTAACAAATCATGTTAAAATGGAATTGTACCTTAACTCAGGAAAAACAAAAACATTAAAACAAAAGACAAGACAAACCTGTAGCACAGATTCTAATTGGTCTTAATAATAAAAAACCCAAGTCAGATATAGGGGTAAATGCTGAAAGATTAGAGAAGCAGAACAGCCAGCCACTAGATCTATGTCTACTGAATCCTCAGACCAAAGAGGCAATCCTGTCTCTAGGAATGCTCAGACTGCATGCGATGAGCTCCTGTCTCCTCCCACCTTATATTCCTCTCTCTGCCCAGACATATCCCTTCCTGTCTCCATCTCCCTGGTATGGAATTAAAGGTGTGTGACTCTCAAGTACTGGGATTAAAGGTATAAGCTACCACCACCTGGCTCTGTTTCTCGTTTAGACTGGATCGATTTCATGTAGCCCAGGGTGGCCTTGAACTCACTCACAGAGTTCCGTCTGCCTCTGTCTCCCAAGTGCTGTATTGTTTGTGGGAGCCTATGAAAATGAGTGGATGAGGAAGGCTGAAGAAGAACCTGATGAGAACAAACTAGAAAGAACATGGACACCTTAGACTACCTCAGTAGGGCTGCACATGGGCTCCTTTGCAAACAGGAAGAAGCAGAGAGCCAGAGAGGATGGTATCCTGCACTCAGATTTGATACTAATGTTACTATGTAATCTGCAGTTAGGGCAATTCCTACATTGCCAAGAAGAGAATATGAGTGCAAAGAATGATGGCCCCTGGAGGACGAGCTCTGGATGCCCATGGTTACCTGTGAAGGTGCGGCGGTCATCATCTGAACTGTGCTCATTGAGGCAGAGACGGGTGGAACACACTAAATTGCCAGCAAAACAAGAACAGACATTGCAGTCAATATTGAAGGATGTTCCATGACCTGAAAGAAAGAAAACACCAATTATATCATGCACTAAGAAACAGACTAAGAAATATGAGATTTCTCTGTGGGTAAAGATGCTTGCTGCCAAAGCCTGAATCCAATCCCCAGGAACTACATGCTGGAAGGAATGAGCCAATTCTCCCAGGTTGTTCTCTGACATTCACAAATATGCTGTGGCCCACGCACACTTGTACGCGCGCGCGCACACACACACACTCTCTCTCTCTCTCTCTCTCTCTCTCTCTCTCACCCACACCCACACACACACACCCACACACACCCCCCCCACCTCCACTTAAATTTGTAAGTTTAAAAATGTAAAATCTACTACTATTGTGTGTGTACTCACATATGTGGGAGTACATGTGTGTCACAGTGTCAGGGCACAGCTTTTCAGAGTTGGTTCTTACCTTCCACAGTAGGTCCTGGGACCAAACACAGGATGTCAGGCTTATGTCTCTGCCTCCCCAGCACTGGGATTACAAGTGTGCACCACCATGCCCAGCATTTTTACGTGGGTTATAGGGAAATCAAATTCAGGTTGTCTCAAAGGGCTTTGCCAAATGAACTATCTGCCAAGCCTCTTAAAAACTTTTATATCAATTCTTGAAAGATGACTTTTGAATACATAAACTAGGGCTTAAATCTAAGATATTTATTTTGAGACAAGATCTCATTGTATAGCCTTGGCTGTCCTGGAGCTTGCTATGTAGACTAGGCTGGCCTCAAACTCTCAGAGATCACATGTCTATAAGGCTGCAGTATATTCTTAGACATTTTATTGTCCCCGATTGTCTCCTCCTCCCAATCCAAGTTTCCCTATGTATTTCAGGCTGGCCTGGAGCTCACTCTGTCACCTAGGTGTTCTGACACTCAGAGAAATCCTCTCAGTCTCCCAGGTGCTGAGATTACAGGCATGAGCCCCAGTGCTTAGCAGGGAGACTGGATGAGTATCAGCTGTGAAGTAGGGGCAGTAACGATAACAATACCTACACAGGAGGAACTCAGAAATTAAAAGAGGTGATGTGGGACAAGACTTGGCATTATGCTTGGCACACAGTCAGAGTTCACTGAGATTAACAAGTAGACCCTTCTTGAGAGGCTTTCAAGAGGGCTCTTTACAAGTCCTTGCTGGTTGTGGTGGTGCTTGACCGTGATCGCATCACTCAGGAGACAGAGGCTGGAGGATTATTGTAGGTTCAAAGGCAATCTGGGCTATGTAGTGAGCTTCAGGCTCCTTGGATTACATAACAAGATCCTGTTTTAAACAAAATACCCCCAACACACACACACACACACACACACACACACACACACACCAATCTGTATGGTTGGAAAAGTACTGTTGGAATATATGATGTATAGACTGTACTCTTTAGCAAGAATTCATCTAATATTCTTTGTGCAAAGTGGAGACAAGCAATCTCACACTCTAATAAGACCAAACGTGAATATGTTCAAGACTCACTTTTTCTTTTTCCTCCAACAATGCAAGACTTCTGGAGGTCGATACAGTGCATCTCCATACAGTTTTCCAAGAGGCCACTTTGTCCACAGGAACAGATCTTGTAACAGCCAACCTCCCCTGCAGAGGACGGCACCTGGATCAGTGTCCCCTGACGGACAATAAAGTCAGAAGCTTCTCCCAACTTGCAGCCTGTACAAAAATAAAAACAAAGACAAAACTGAATTGATAATACTGTTCTATGACAACGTTTCACATTACACACTTTACAGAACTCTTCTAGGACTGTGTTGCTATTAAAGAATGTAAGATCATGTCACATAGCTGGAGAGATGGCTCAGGAGTTAAGAGCACTGGCTTCTCTGTCAGAGGACCCAGAGTCACTTCCTGGCACCCACGTGTTGGCTCACAGTCATTATAACTCCAGTTGGCCTGACACCCTCTTCTGACCTCTCTGGGTACTGAGCTCTCATGGTACACATACATAGATGCAGATAAAACACTCAAACACATAAAAATAAATATGTTTCAAAGATTATGTTACAGAACTTTTACCAAATTAAGGAATTACTTTTGTTCACTGACCAAAAAAATATATCCTCTCAAATAAAATTCCATGTTCTATGGGTGATTAAGGACTTGTACCCCAAAGTTAGCTACAGTTAGTAAAAAAATAATATGAAGCTACATAGTGTTGGCCAAGCACAGTAGTACACACCTGTAATCCCAGAACTTGGAAAGCTGAGACAGGAGGATGGCTTGGGTTACTATGTAGTGAAATCTTATATTTAAAAAAACCAACCAAACAAGCAAACAACAAAAATATAGCTTTTTATTTTTTTTGGACTAATCATATTTTGAAAAATGACAAAATGTTTTAACTGACTATTTTTAGGGTAATTTTGACCAGGACAATTTTTAGTGATGAACATAAGCATACAACTATAAATTTAAAGAACAACTAAGTATTTAGATATTCAAATGGGCTTAAGGAAAACCCATTTTTTAGGTAATACATTTTTAACTTATCATAAGCTTTCTGAGTTTAACAAAACCATTTAGAACTGTTGCATGTTACATAATGTGGAATAAAGAAATTACCATTTTCTTGATAAAGAAAATAATATTGGCTAAACTATTATACAGTGTCAATGGACATGAAACACCACTCTGAGGTTTAGCTAGACACATCGCAACTTGGTAACTGGTACACTGTCATATTACTCAAGTGGACAGTCTGTCATTAGTTCATTTTGGTTCCTTTTCACTTCTAAGATTTTTTTAAAATGTTGACTCTAACATGATAAACATTTCCAACACAGAAACAGATTAAAAAGAATCACAATGTCACTATAACTGTATTAGAACAGGTGACAGAGTTAAAGACTATCAGAATTCTATGAACTACATTTTAGGGGCTAACTGTGACTGAGTAGTCAAGCACAACCCTATGTGTGCCAGGGCCTCAAGTGGTCCATAACACATAATATGAACAATAGTGTGCCAGAGCCTCAAGTGGCCCACTAACATATAATATGGAAAAAACAATTACTTGTAGACATCTCTTATGGTTTTGTTGGTGTCTTGGTGTTTTGAGACAAGGTCTCACTATGTAGCCCTGGCTGTCCTGGAACTTGCTCTGTAGACCAGACTGGCCTCCAACTCACAGATCCACCTGCCTTTGTCTCCTGAGTGCTGGGATTAATAAGGTTCACCACCACACCTAGCTATTTGTATGCATTTCAACATGACATTAATCTTTTTAATTTTAATTGAAATAGTGTCTCATGTTGCTCAGGCTGGCCTCAAATCCATTCTGTATCTGGGGATAATCTTGAACGCCTGAAACTTTAGCATCTACCTCCCAAGCACTGGGATTATAGGAATGCACCCCACACCTAGGCTGTTTTGTTTTTGTCGTGCTGGGGAATGAATCCACGGCTTTCCACATTAGGCAAACACTCTCCTGCAGAGCTACATCCACAGCCCGTTAACCTTTACAGAGATGAGCAGTGCTGTAGAGAGTATGGCATTCCTCCACTGCTACAGAAAAGAAAAGAAAACCATGAACAATGGATGGTCTGTTTTTCAAACAGTATAGCATGGAAGAGAAGGCACAAAAAGTTGGCCCAAGCTTCTCTTTTCTTCTGTAGTCAAGAACCTTGTAACTTGTATTGATAGCATTAGTTTACAATTGAAATGACAACTGAAAATTCTATGTATCCTTGTTTGAATAAACACATTTTTAGTGGCAAATGCCCAAACATTACAGGAAAATAAAGTACAGAAAAAGACCCTGTAACCTGGGCGTAATGACAACTCCAATAAGGAAATACCAGTAGCATGTCCCATGTCCATCTCACACTCAAAGCCCCCATCGCTTACCTTGAACACAAGAATACGGAAGGCAGGGGTCTCCAGATGGACACCCTTTCCGGTTCACTTCACAGAGCTCATTGGCTGGGCAAGGATTCGGGTTACAGGGATGAGTCACTTCTTCTATGATGTTACCTAAAGCACTTGGCCCTGAAGAACCCAGAACAAATGAGTGTAACCAATCTAAAAGAATACCAGGTCTCCAAGTTATCTGGCTTTGTCACAGCTGGAATAAATGGAGAGCTTACAGGCACAGAGCAAGGCCTGATTCTGATAAGCCCCAACTAAACAGTGGATTTCCTCATAATTCATCAGTTTATCATAATACACCCAACCATTCATTTATTAATGGGATACCCACAATATACTTGGAAGATCCTAGGTACTAGATACAGTAATGGACAATCCAGACAAGCTAACATGGGGCTACTATCTGGACGGAAATAAGATGAACTCATAATTTAAGTAGGAAGCAGTTCAGAGATGAGGCATATTTGGGATGTGGTCATCAAATATCACAGTGCTTTTGAGTAAGAGGGATGCTTTTGCACTTTAAACAACAATATACGGCAATCTGTTACATCAGCATGAGCCCCAGAACACAATTATATTTACCTTCCAACATCCTGTCCAGGAAGAGTAGCACTTCAAGCACTTGTGATATTTAAAGCAAGCACTGCTATTCAGACTAGAGCATCCTTGGGTTTCCCTCCTGCTGAAATCATTTCCTCCTACACATACCTGACTGCTCTAAGTGGCTAGGATCACCAGTTTACTTACTAGATTCTCAGCCCCACTCAGACTCAGCAGACAGAGGCTGTGGGAGAGCATGAACCAGGCCCACCACTCTGTCCAGGTTTACCAGGAACTCAAGGTGATCTTCCCAAGGCCACAGAGGTTCCCACCTAGCATGTTCTTTTTTCAGTATTGGTCACAAAAGTTAGGGAACATGGTCTCTTTATCTTAAGAGAACCTAAAAGATACTAACTACCAGCTATAAAGTCACCACCTTCTCTTCTCTGTTAAGAGGATCTTAATTTTATTCAGGATGGTCACGGGCCCAAAGCTAAAAAGACTGCCCATCTGAGCTTTTCATATAATTATAGGTGTCCCCTGAGATTAAGGAGAAGCTGCTCCTCCTTCCTGTTTTACTGGCTAGAGTAAGCTGGGTAAAGTGCCAACGGCCATGGTATGAAAGTAAAGTATATGAAGTAAAGCTGACAAGAGTTGGTGCCACCATAAACATCCTGTACTACTTGATTCTGGGCTTCCCTGTTCTTCATTTGTTCTGTTATTGGTAGTTGGGATTAATCATAACGGAAAAAGTAAGCAAGCAGGACTTTCTGTTGGCCAGCCAGTTTATGGCACTGCTGCCCCCTGGTGGCAGCCCAAACACTAGTTCATCCCAATACCTAAGGTCTCCCTACATTGGTCTCATTGCTATCAAGGGGCTCCTTCTGGAATCCCTCAATGAGGTACCAAGCTCTTGGCAGAAGTATCTGGCAGGAAGAAGCTAAAGTAGGAAGGCAAGTTTCACTTCCTTTTATGATCTCAGGGGATAGCTATGTCTTCTCTATTGGGTGAATAAGCCCAAGCCAGGCCTGTCTCAGGTCCTGATGCCAAAAACTGACAGCTTCCTAGGGGAAATTCCATTTTCTGGTCACATCATGAGAAATAACAATGATTTCTGAGAATGCTGTCCTCCACTTTGATCCTTAGAATTCCTGACTGGTAAACATCTCATCATACTTCCTCTGAAGGATAAAATACAATTTCTGCTTACAATTTTTAAGATGACAATGCTAACCTGATGGGATCTAATTACTTAGGAGACCAAACTCTGGACTCCTGGGTGAGAGATTTGACCTTCCCTATTGGATGGCCCCATGCCATCAGCTGGGGCCCTGAACTGAGAAAGAAATGAGCTGAGCACCCGCCTCTCTGCTTCCAATGTCAGATGCTCCTGACTCACACTCCAGCTGCCATGCTGCTCCTGTATCCTTGAACTGTGCTAAATATATCCTTCTTCCCCTCAAATGCTTTTGATGACATTTTTGTTTGTTTGTTTGTTTATTTATTTATTGTCACAGCCACAAGAACAGTAACCAAAGCAGATGGCATCATAAAACAACAGGTTCTCACCCGAGGTGAAGAGCAACGGCAGAGAGCATGAGAGAAGCACTTGAACTCTAAGAGCAAACCCACACAGTACTTACTGAGGTATGTATCCAGAGGTATACAGTTCTCCAGGTCATCTGCAGGAGACAGGAACTCACAAATACTTTCAGCCGTGTGGTCTTCAGGGAATCTGTTCTGGTCTCCACATGTCTTGAGAATCTCTACACAATCTGACCTTAAAAGAAGAACACGTGCACATGGTGGGTTCACGGCACTGCCTCCCGTTGTCTGGTCAAAACGGTTTCTGAAGCTTCTCTGGAGTTGTCTTCACCACCTACCAAGCCCTCCCAGATGGTTAGGAGTGAGGCTGCTGAATTTCCAGGTACACAGTAAATTCAAAGCCTAACTTCCTGTAATCTGAGATTAAGGCCTTGTTCAAAATTAACAATTACTGCTCCAAGCATGGTATGGCTTCTACCACCTTTAAGAGGAACCGAGCTAGGCTAGTTTGCTTAAAAACTGTATCCTATTCTCAAGGACCTGTGTCAGTTGCTTTCTTTTCTACCTTTCTCATTTTAATAACTTTTTAGTTATCAGCACTAAGGTGTTCAGTTTTTAACAACCAGACAGTTCACAACTTATTTTTTTCACAACTCATTTTTTCTTAGTCTAGGGGCTAGAAAGATGGCTCTACAGTTAAGAGCACTTGTTGCTTACAGAGGACATGGGTTCAGTTCCCTGTACCTACATCGTGGTTCAAAACCATCTGTAACCCGAGTTCTATGGGATCCAATGTCTTCTTCTGAGGTATGTATCCAGAGGTACCCAGTTCTGTGAGCACAGGGCACACATGTGACGCACATACATACATATAGGCAAAACATTCACATACAATAAAATCTTTGTTTTGTCTTGTATTTTTGTTTTTCGAGATGGGGTTTCTCTGTAGCTTTGGAGCCTGTCCTATCCTGGCACTCGCTCTGTTGACTAGGCTGGCCTCGAACTCACAGAGATCTGCTTGCCTCTGCCTCAGGAGTGCTGGGATTAAAGGTATGCACCACCACCATCGCCTGGCGGCAAAACATTCATAAGCATCAAATAAATAACCCTTTAGTATTTTTCTTTAGTCTTCAGTTGAAGGTTTTCTAAGAGTACATTTGCATCTGTGGCTTTGTCGTGTCATCTCAGAGTTACACCTCAGCCTCTCCCTTACTCAGGTCATGTTTGAGTCATGGCAGAAAACTGATCAGAAACCAGGCACGACAGCTCATGTCTGTAATCCCAAAGCTCAGGAGGCTCAGAGCATTGCCATAGGTTCAAGGCCAGCCTGGACTACAGAGTAACACAGTAAGACTCCACAATCAAAATTCTACAATCAAAACCAGATAAGAAAAAAATAAATAAAAGTGATCTGGACCCTATTAATCTGAACTGAGCAGTACTGAGCCACACATGAAGGGTTTTAGGCTCAGTATTGACTTGGTCTTGGAAAAGAGAACAGATGCTTGATGAACAGCTGAGGTACTGTGTAGTTATCACTCTGGTTTCATCTGCCAGGCAGTGGTCATCATGGCTTTGTCTTAGATTTCCTAAGGAAACCATTCAAAACTGTTTAGTAGGAACAGGACCCAACCACTATTCACTAACTCTCTCACTCATCAAGCATTTGCAGGAGATCTACTGTGTGCCAGGATAATAATAAAAATATAACAGGAGCTGCAAAGGAGAAAGAGCAAAGAGGAAAAAAGAATCGCACAGAAAGTAAATTCCTAAGCCAAACAATATAAGAGAGAACATATTTAAAACTATAGAGGAGCTGGAAATAGCAGAATGGGTTAGAGGCACTGCCCACCAAGCCTCAAGAACAACTTGAGCTTAATCTCTGGAAGCTGCCACACTCTAAAATGTCGGATTCATTCATATTCTCCCTACATGTAAAAGTACTTTTAAAAGTGTAAAAACAGGGACTCGGTGTGTTTGAACACCCAGGATGCCTCGTGGAAGCCGAAGCCGCTCTTCCCGGGTGGCCCCTCCAGCCAGCCGGGCCCCTCAGATGAGAGCTGCTCCGAGACATGCAAGACATGCGCTGCAGCTCAGCCTCTAGCAGCAGCTGCACCACCTGCAGTTGGCTCCCCTGCTGCTGTACCCAGGTAGCCAGGCCTGATGGCCCAGATGGCAACCACTGCAGTGGGTCACACCCTGGGTCATGCCATCACTGGGGGCTGCACGAAATCATGGAGGTGGCAGCGCTGAGCCTGCAAGAGGAGCCCCAAGGAACCCAGCTGCTGGACCAGCAGCGAGGGCCATGCTCTCTTGAGATCAAACAGTTTCTGGAATGTGCACAGAACCAGAGTGACTTCAGGCTCTGCAAGGGCTTCAATGAGGTGTTTCGACAGTGCAGAACTGCAAATGGTTTAATCTAATCAAGAAGTTCAAACTGAAGAAATGGGCTCTGCCTAATTCATAGTGCAAGTGTGGACCCTGAGCAAACAAATCTTATTTCTAATAGCTCCATTACTTCAGCCATGAGAGAGTCCTAACTGTATATTCACTCAGCTTGTAGTGTTGGGGACTGGGCAAGTGATGGCCTCCTTGAACCAACTGTATTGTTTCTTGTGAGTTAATGAAAATAAAATTGTTTGATTCTGAAAAAAAAAAAAAAGGAGTGTAAAAACAGGGCCAACAAGATGGCTTGTTGGATAAAGGTGCCTGCTGGGACTCACTGAACATACCCCCCTCCCCCAGCTGTCCTTTGTTGTCCAGATGCTCTGTGCCAGGTGTACAAATGAACACACACCAAATAAATAAATGTAATAAAACTTTAAAGTATAAAACATAACTGCACTGAAGGTATTTAGAAACTGTTTCTTAAACTACATTCCATAGTAAAGTCCACATAAAGTTCTACGGGAATTTGCACTAAGGATAAGTTAGTATCAACCAAAGGAATGAGGGAAGATTCCATAGGAATGTCTGGTATTTGACAAGAGCCAGGAAGAGCAGGCCTCAGGCAAGAAGATAGGGTAGAAAGTGAGAAAGCACTGCTCTGGGGGAGGAGCACAGGCAAAGTGGAGAACTTTCTAGAGAGAGGCTCTGCTGGAGATCAGGGAGGGTCTGAGCCCACCCGAGTCACTAGGACTAGAACGACTTACTTGCAGATAATGCTTCCTCGGGATTTACTGTGGCAAGGCTTAATCTGCAGCGAGCAGGCTATTGCTTTCCACACGTCTGGCTGGCACTTCCTAATGTCGAGAACAGGGATGCTGATGAAGGGCATCTTTATGCTTCCTTTCTCCCACAGCTTCATGTCATTCATGGCTCCCTGATCAGACTGAGCGTTACAGCTCCTGAAAAGTTCAGTTGGCCTGAAAAAAAAAATCCACAAGGAATTGAGGCAAATTATTTCCTAGATAGAAGCAACAAGTAAAATCTTGATAAATTCATTCATCAGGAAAAAATTGATTTTCTTAAATAGAGAGTGAGTAAAAGCCATCATAGGCTTTCTTTTGGCTTCAAGTACCTGAAGCTCAACGTGGACACTAGCATCAAGACATTGACTGCATATTTTAATTTAACATAGGTCCTTATGAAGCATTTTAAAACTTCAAGGTGCTTTGCATAGGACTAACACTTCCAGAACATCTCATTTTCTTTCACAAAATAAATGAATCTGTGGCTTCAAAACTGAGGTATAAGCTGGGCAGTGGTAGCACACGCCTTTAGTCCCAGCACTTGGGAGACAGAATCAGGTGGGTCTCCGAGAGTTTGAGGCCAGCCTGGGTTACAGAGTGAGTGCCAGGAGAGGCTCCAAAGCTACACAGAGAAATCCTGTCTTGAAAAACAAAAACAAAAACAAAAACAAAAAAACAAAACAAAACAAAAACCCAAAAAACAAAAACTAAGGTATAATTAAAAAAAATGCACAAAATATAGATTAGATCTACATAGAATATATAGATCTACATAGTGAGTTCCAGAACAGTCAGGGTTACAGAGTGAGATCCTGTCTCAAAAACAAACACCCCCCCCAACAAAACAACGCAAAAACCTATACAATATAGAACATTTCCATCATGCTGGAGTTCCCTGATGCCCCTGGTTTTCTGGTCCTTATCCTCACAGACTACTTTTGCTTATTCTTAGACTTCATGTGTCTGGAAGTACAGAGAATTGGGCTTCCCTTGCTGAATGTAAGCCCATTCATATTTGAGTGTTCCAGGACTTTGCCTTCCTTCTATTCCATTGTATGTTACTATTATTACTGTTTTCATTCTCCTGGTGGATGTTTTGGGGTCCTTTCCCAATATGGGAGATTACAAATAATGCTGGCACATAGAGACTTTCTTGAACATATGCTTTCATGTCTCTGGTTGAATAAATGCTTCAGAATGGAGTTGAAGGATCACAGATTCAATCCAAATTACTTACCTGTGAGGAAAGAGAGAATCCCACACACTTCACATGCTTGCCAGTCTTTTAATCTAGGAATTCTAATGGGTCTGAGGAGGCATTCACAGAGGTTTTAATTCATACTTAGAAGGACTAGTCTTTTCATATACATTCCTTTTTAAAAGCACTTTTAACTGCTAACTCTATGGCATACAACATCATGTTTTGAAATATGTATATATTGTCGAGTGGCTAAATCAAACTAACTAACACATATTAGCACAAATACTTTGTTCTATTCTCTTAGCAATTTCACATATGTGATATACTTATTAACTGGAATCATCATCCTTTTTTGTTGCTGTTTCTTCGAGACAGAGTCTCACTATGCAGCTCTGTCTGTCCTGGAACTCACTATGAAGCCCAGGATGGTGTGATCATCATCTGCTCAGTGAGTCACTTGCTTAATTTAAAGATATTTCTTTACAGAACAACTCAAATCAGGGTATCATGAGGTATCAAGGACTGTAAGGGGAAAAGGGCGCCAAGATCTGAGCCTGGAGCACATCCATAGCTAGTGGCTGAAGAGAACAGAAAAGGGTGTCCAGCGCACAGAACTGGAGAACTACACTGTCCTAGTGATCTGCTTTGCAGTGAACCGTTTCCACCGGTTCCACCATGGCAGAAGGGAGAAGAGAGTGAAGGAAATGGATACTCTCTCAATTCCAGAAGCTTCAGGCACGTCTAGGTTAGAAGGGACTTTGCAATCATACTTCCTTTCTAAGGGCCACGTAGAAGGGACAGAGCATTTCAAGATGAAATCATGAAGAAATACAGCTTTCTTTTACCCTAGAAAGGCACACCAGAAAGTGGTATTTACTTAAAACAAGTAAATTTGATAGTGTATTTCCATCTTCATGTATAATATTTTTTCCTACCTGTTGTTAAAGTTTGTACAGTAAGTGAGGTTTCTACAGCCCAACTGGCACGGTTCCCGGACATCAGCTAGACATGTCAACATGGACACCTCCACTGGATTATATTCACAGATGCGGTCAAACTCTTGCCAACTCTGGGTGTTTCCCCAGCTCATGCTATAAAGTTTTGTGCACAGTTCCCTGAAACAAAAGAACAAATTAAACAGAAGCCTGATGAGTATTAAATCTGTGAAAAACTCCAATTCTATTAACTCTATCTACAGGAACATAAAGAAAAAAGTACAGTTAACTAGCTCCTGAAATTTGGAGCCAAAAAAAGTAATCTTTTCCATGAAAAAAAAATGGCCTTTAAAAAATCATCCCTGGGCAGCTGGAGCAGTGGCTAATCAATTAAGAGCTCTTCCAGAGGAACCAGATTTGATTCCCAGCACCCACATGGCAGCTCATAATCGTCTGTAGCTCCAATTCCAAGGGACCCAACACACTCTTATGGCCTCTGAGGACGTCAGGCTTGCATGTGGTTCACAGACATATATATATAGGTAAAATAGCCATACAAATTTAAAAGGGACACAAGCCAATGTATATATTTTTTCATCCATGGGACAGAATGAGACTTAGAGATGGTTTAGTGGGTACAGGACCTTACCACACAAGCTTGGTGACCTGAGTTTGACCCCCAAATCCACAAAAAGATGGAAGGAGAGAACCAACTACAAAGTTGCCCTCTGACCTCCACATATATTCCATGGCATGTGTGCCCACCCCACCCCACCTCACCCCAGTAATAAATAAATCTCAATAAATAGTTTTCAAAAGATAAAATAAATCCAACCCCTCCTTTGTCATGACTGATAGGAAGCTAAATATTGCATTTTACAGTCCCTTAAGGTGTTTTGTACATTCTTAGTTCTGGTACAATTATTTTCTATCATGTCTTTATCTGCCTTCTTTTTTTCATATTTACTTAAAGTAAAGCACATAGT